ACGAGGGGTTTCAACGTTTTCAAAGTGGTCGTGAGCACGTAAATGACGATCAACATGAGGGCCAATCAAAATCCGTGATCACCGAATTTCCCATCGAAACTGAGCGCGAATTCATCAAAAAACAGCCGAAATCATCATTGAAAATCTAGAAATGAAATTGAACAGCTCCAAAACATCGATTTATCGTATTTTGACCGAACATTTGGGCTTACGAAAAGTGTGTGCGCGGTTTGTTGCGCACAAATTGACGGACGACCAAAAATTGCTCAGAATCCAACATTCGAAGGACATCATCACTTTGAATCTGCTGCCGAAAGACAAAACGCAAAGCTTTCTGGGTGAGAACTTGCGAAGAATACTACAGGGTCTCTGTATTTCTCTATAGGATACGCTTGAAGATACGCTTTTCTAAAGAAGTATTGGATGGCTTTCAATTGAGTTTGCTGTTTTCAAAAAAAGTATGTGCTTCGAAAACCAAAGTAATAGAAAATCTCGTTGACTGTTTGATATGTAGATATATTCAAACGTCTTTTGGATAATGACAACGTCGTGCTACGTTTGAAGCTCAAAGTTGAACTTGATCACTGGTTGTGCCATTAGGGGCAGAAGCAAAAGTTAAAAGACAATAAGTTACCGACTACTGCTTTGGAAACATTGAAGAATTGCGATGTAGACCTATACCCTATTCTTCACGGTTTTCTGCACATATTCTACATACTTGCTGTGACAAATGCGAGCTCTGAACGCTCACTGCAGAGGAAGTTCTCGACAGATTCTCAAAATTTGGCCAAATCCCTTTTTATACTCTGAAAAGGGTTTATTAAGTTTGTCACGAAGTTTGTAACACCCAGAAGGAAGCGTCGGAAACCCTATGAGCGTCATGTGTAAATAATCAGTGTGTTGAGGTGAGTCGTTTTAGCCATGTCCGTCTGTCTGTCTGTATATATACGAACTAGTCCCTCAGTTTTTAAGATATCGTTTTGAAATTTTGTATTCGTCATTTTCATTCATACGAAGCTCATTTGTCGAAACTGCCGATATCGGACCACTATAACATATAACTGTCATACAAACTGAATGATCGGAATCAAGTTCTTGTATGGAAAACTTTCACATTTGACAATGTATCTTCACCAAAGTTGGCACAGATTATTTTCTAGGACAACAATGTAATCTCCGAAGAAATTGTTCAGATCGGCTCACTATAGCATATATCTGCTACAGAAACTGAACACATATTTACTAACTTAAATGTAAATGTGAATTGTATTTACCTTCGATGCAACCGAAGTTAACGTTTTTTTTTTTTTTGTTTTTTATGAATTTTTTCTATTCATTACACGTCTACTATTTCTATTCTATTTTTAATGTTTGCTATCAGAAGTTCGATTTGAATATTTTCCATCTTGATAATAAACTGTAGAAAGATAACTATATTTAATATATAATGTTTACGTTTTAAGTAGTGGTTTATTTCCCAAAAAAAAACAAAAAAAAAAATTTTTTTTGGATCCGCCCCTCTCTATACTGGCACATTTAAAAGCTATTCTATATTCGTATTACACAGTTTTATCAGTATGTCGCTATTAAACATGGAAAATTCTTAGAAACTTAGATTCCATTATGTACACTCTTTTTTTTTTTAGAGTTATCTTCATAACAATTTATCTTTGAAAAAATCCAGCTCAGGGCAAACTTTTTCGTTACACTTTTAACTATATGAGACATTAATATCATTCAACTTCACTTTGTCTACGCTTTATACAACCGTAGTGTTGCGGTTATTAATCTCAATAAGGCACAATCTCAAATTTAAGTTTATGCTCTTTCTTCACAAAATATATGCAAAAGCGGTCACTCTAACACCGTAGCCGGCCGCCAACTACCAGCCGCGGCCAAGAAATCCCAGTTTCTTAGTAGTAATTTACATATTTTTTAAACTTTTGCCACAACGCACTAGTGCAATGTGCGAAACTGACATTTTAATAAATACAAAGAAATTTATTCTGGCAGAATCGCAGAGTGTAACGAAAATTCTGAGGCAAAAGTGTTGAGGCAGTAGTAATTTAATATAATCAAGCAGTTGAAAAATTTCCGTCTGCCACTTACTCGCCCAAATAAAGAAGAGTGCAAAAAATCAGTACACTTATGTGCGAAATGTTAGGAGAAAACGGCTCATAAATTATTAAGCAATGCAGAGATTGCACAACAAGTTGCAAGTGTTTGTTGTAAACGCGCTCGTAACCAAAGTGCGGTTAGTTGCAAGCTATCGATTTTTATGCACTCCGAACTAACATGCTTTCGTACTTTGCTGTGAATGAATTTGTGGCACACATCAAATATGGAGCGTGTTCAAAAATGGCTGCAACACGCAACATCCTTTTGCCTCAAAGCACTCAAAGTACGCTCATAAAGGCATGACAGAGCGTTGGCAGCGCAACGTTTTAATATTTTTATAAAAGCAGCGTGTTTTTTAATAGTTTTCGCAAGCATCGCTATGCATTAAAATTCAATTATTTCAAGTTTATTTTGTGTTTGCTTGCTTTTATGTTTGCTGACAGCGCAGCATAACTCATACGCCGTGGCGGACGCAGTGTGCAGTAATCCAAGAAGCAACGGTGACGGCACGTCTCCAGCACGTAAACGCTGTGAATAGCGCAAAGTTGCACACAAATTCAATTTAAAATGGCGTTGTCTTCGGAGCCGCCGCTCATTCTTCCACTGCCTTTCGAGCTTCTTTGCGCTCTCCCTTCATGACAGTTCCTTCGAGCGCGTGCTCACATTTGAAAGCTGTTAGGCATTAAAATTTAATTGGAAATTTCTGCTTCACATTTTCGTTTTGTCTATATTTATGTGGCTGCAGCATGACGGCCGTTGAAGGCTATTGTTCCCATCGGTTAGTGGTTACAGCTATTTGGCCGGACGCAATTGCAGCGGAAAGCTGAGAATTACATAATAAACGTCGAAGTGCAAAGCCGAGTGTAAATTAGCTTGCCAAGCGGCGATTATTCTAATAAATTACTAACGCTTAAAGAATACCCTGGTATTCGCATACACATTTGTGTATGTACTATGTTCGAGAATCGATGCTGCTGCTGGTTTAGGTTTGTTTGTGCAGACCATTAGGCCCAAGTGGCATGGGTAAATTCAACGCAAGTGCTAATTAAGTCTTTCTTAACTGTAGTTACCTGTTATTGAATAGGTTAATTAATTGTAGCGAAGGCTGGCAAAGTTAGTGAAAAGTTTCAAACGTGCAATTAAGCAATGGTTCGGGACTTTTATTGAAGATATTTATTTTTTATTTACAACTACTTTAAACATATCGAATTTACCAATACATTATCATAAAAATGAAGCTGTTATAACTCATCTGATTTTAGATAGAATAAAATGTTCGAGATCATAACCTACTCTCAACTTCAGACTCTCCCACCGAACCACCGAGCCACTCCCATAAGTATTACTTCGTGGGAGTGATAGGACATTTAAGCTTCTTCTATGGTTTCGCTTTCCACTTCTCAGTGAAGTGACACATGAGTGTCGTCAAATTTTTCACCGTAAAACTATCACCGAGTGAAGTTTTAAGTTTTAACCTTGTACTTTGAAAGCGTGGGCATTAAAAGAATACATGCTCAGAGTCTTCAAAGCAATCTGTACATGTAACTTCTAAAGCACCCATGTCCAATTAGTATTTGAGTTTGGTGAAATTCAGATCTGTCTATTCACGAATGGATGTCTGGTATCGCTGCTGTCATATTGACTTAAGATTCAGCTGTTGATTTTCTCTTCTCTTTTGGCTCCTATACTCCGACTCTGATAACTTGTACTTGTATACCCGGTCGTATTCGTTACCCTGGACATCATACGGCCATTACTTTAGGAGCACCGCCTGATATTGTTCGAAAAGCATATAACAAAGCAAGATAACTCTTTGTGCCGACAGCCTGTTTGACATATGCTTTAATGACTTGCGCTTGGATTCGTATTAGAGCCACATAAAATACAACCGATCTCATTAACTTTGCGAGTAAGTAATTTGCCATCGATCTTGATAAGGCATTTCTACGTGATCCCTAAATTTGAGCCTTGAGTCTATTATTACTCTCAGACACTTGGTGTGTCTGTACATGAGTTTTACACTCCCTATGATGGGAGATATGCTTTCCTCTACTTCGATTGTACTTATGAGCAAGATTTCTAAAAAAAAAATAAAGTTTTCGAAAAGTATTTAATAAATATTTACATGTTTGCTTATCTCAACGACAACCCCATTTTCCTTATCTATTTACAGCTATGACTTGCAAATCAAGGCAACATAAAGCCTATTAAAAAATACGTCAACTTAAGTGAGGACATTGCAACATGCAAAGTGAACGACTTGTCGATTTCTTTGACGACGCCAATGACAAATAAAAGAACAACTAACACGCGGAACTTTTCAGGGAGCAAAGATAAGTTGGACAGCATGGGCGAGGCATTTACAGTCACAATAAAGCTTAACGATGCAGAGTCAAAGGTGAAAATGTTTACGGCCAAACTGGCATACTTAAAAGGCAACTGAGGCAAATATTTACACAAGCGAGGGTGGCTATGCTCGAAATGTTGGACTCAAGAACACGCAAACCAATAAAAAATGATAAAAAGTGGCAATTCCACGAACGAAAACAGGGAGAAAATAGCCTCGTTGCAGCACAACAGCAAATGGCGTTATGAGTGATAATTATCGCGTGTTGACAACACATCAAAGCGAAAGGCTAAATCAAAACAACGGCGAAATTGTGATAGTAGTTAGAAGTGCTAGTAAAGTGCTACAGCTGATTAGTAAGGCAGTGTGTAGGAGAGCGTTCCGAAGGTGTGGCTGGAGTAAAAGTGACGAATGGGTGGTCGCACGAAGCGAGCAACATGCTGTGACTAAAATGGCATGCTGCATGTTTAATAAATAATAAATTATATATAAGTGCATAAGCGTAGCTATTTTTAATATAATATTCGGTGAAAAATAAAAATAGATAATTCTGGCTAAATAAAAATGTAGGAAATAAATTAAACCCTAGACACTACTAGAAAACTGCTTCGGTAGATTAAAATCGCAGAACGAGAACAATAAACAATCGGTGTGTATCATAAATATAACGGCAAATATTAAAGCAGCGATTAGTCAAGTCAGATACGATAACATAAAGTGAGGCCGCAAAAGCAATACAAACAAGTCATAAGTGTCAGACAACAACAAATCATTGTTAGAACGTTAGTAAAGTGTTTTCAAAATAGCATACAACAGTAGACACAACAACAACATCGACAACACCTCCGTTGGCAGCTAGTACATTTTGCACTTAGTTACGCCCTCCTAAACAGCGAACAAGTGTCGGCGACGATATCGTCAGCAACAAAATGTCATCGTCCGAGCAATTTGCAACACCGACTTCCTCAACAGGTGAGTTTTTGTGGCCAAATTGGCTGCCACTGCATTTTTAAATAAGAGATATTTTGTTTCACGAAAACTTAATGACTTCTGCACACGAGCTCCTTTCACCTTTAAACGTATACTTCGATTAAATTGATTAGTCCAAGGTTATTGTTGTTGTTTTCTAACACGGTTACCGCGCTTCAGTTTTTGGAATTCCGAAAACTTGCTTTCAAATATTTGGTTGTACATAACAGACACACCGTATCATTATTGAAGAGAGAAAAAAAATTTAAATTTTTAATCAAAATTTTGGTTAGGAAAAATCCAAAAAATAGTTCTTATACCCCTAGAAGTATATATCAAGTTTTCCACAATGTTTTTAATACCCAGAAAGAAACATTAGAGACCCTATAAAGTATTATTATGTACTAGTATTTTATACTATTATTCATGTCATAAACTATTCAATACAGTGAAAATTTTATTTGCAAATAAAGCCGAAACCGTTTTTGTCGGTATATAGTTCCAAATAATTGTAGTTGAGATTTAATTTTGAATATGTACATACAAATAAATTTCATTGGAAAAATTAACAAATTTAAGGCTGCTTTCTCAATGTCTGGTTACCAGTCTTTCGGTCCAGTCAATAGCGTTCTCCGCTTAATACAGCTTTCACTGCATTTTTTATTTATGAGTATTTTTCACCATCCTATCTTCTGAGTTGGCTCGACATGGATTTATTGTGCATAATTTTACTAAAATCGGTTCAGTAGTTAAGGAGTCCATCGCGGATAATATTGTTTATAAAGATAAATGAAAAGCATAACGAGTTGAGTCGAATTAGCCATGTCTGTCTGCCTCTCCATTTGTATAGATTCTCTATTCTCTCAAGTTTTGAGACATTGATTTTAAATTTTACACATGTTCTCTTTTCATCAAGATATGGCTCATTGGATAACTATAGCATACAGTTGCCAATTTATATTACTATAAGTTACTATTACAGACGAATGTTAGCTTTTATACTTATATTTTTATAGGTATAAATGCAATGATATGTATTCATATTAAATCATATACAATTGAACATATTTTTCAATAATATACTATTTGAAATATTTGGTAGATATTTTGAAAATAAGGCCTCCTCTTTTAATTATTTCCTATAGTTGATATGTATGTATGTATATCAACTATGTGTATGTGCTATTTGTATACTTTATTAATAGTAATCAATCATATCTTTTGTCATTCATTAACGCAAATGCACTTTCATAGTCAGAGTTGACCCTTTCATAAAACCAAGCACCTCCACATATCCCAGAGCAAACGTTTGCCACCAAGCGGCTTTTCGCAACGAAGACAAACTCTAAAATTAATGAGTTGAAAAACTTTCTGAGATTCTTGAAGGGAAAACTGACAACCCCACAAAAACAGAGTTGTTTTATAATATTGACCACTTCTAAAATATTTGTCTGTGGCTCGCAAAAATTAGCGTGGATATGTATGCACGCCCATACATAAACATACTTATTTACGATGGTTTGTACGCAAGGCTGTAAGAGCGGCAAAGAAAGCGGTGACGATCGACGATCCTTCGCTTATTTTTTCGGCACAGTTCAGATTTTCTACATACCAACAACACAACGTTGTGACTCTTTGTTGTTGCTTCGATACTTCGATACATTGACTCTTTGACATGAAAGCATCGTTTGCGCATAGTAAATAAGCAAATCTGTAAACGTAAGGTGCTTAACACTTAAGTTCTTATTAATTTTCTTATCTAAGGGGTTATATCCACTTGTGATTTTCAAAAAATCGATACTTCCATTTTTTGAATGTACATATATTCAAGAATATTCTCTGAAAATTTGAAGTTGATCCGACTAATAGTTTCGGTGATACAACCATATAAAGGTGGACGCTCGAGGTCAGGTATAGGCTGAGGGCGCAGTTATTAAAACTTTAAACGCGTTTATCTCAAAACCGTGTTTTCAGAGTCAGTGAGGAAAATTTCTCCGAAACCGCGAAACCGGTCGGTTTGAAATTTTCACACGACTTACTCAGATATATTTTTCAGGTAATAATCGAAGGAATAAGGTTTTGGATAATAATTTAGATTTTTTAAGCCACTTTGAGTGAAAAATTTTCATGAAAAACTGAATTTTTTGTTTGAACAGCCGCAATTTTGTCAAAAATCAAAATTTTGACTAGACCTTTGATCATTACCTGTATTTATTTACCACAAAACTAAATATTTTTGGGTTTTGGTTTTCAGATAATTTGGACTAGAGATATCTTGCTCACCGCAGATCATCTACAGGAGCTAGGGGATCCAATATTTTTTTAAATAAACCGCTGATTGTTAAAGTAAATTAAATTCTGTTTAAGTACATTTTTTCCATTAATGTATAACATAAAATGCCTCTTTGTAAAAAACTCACGAAAAAACGCGTTTTTTCTGCCTCGCAAGTGGATATAACCCCTTAACACTGAAAAGGTTCAACATTGTTATTTTCGTGTCTTCTGATGTAAATTGTAGTGAAATGCGCTAATAATTTTCGGAGGTGAAACTCGCTCATCTTGGGCGAGTATCTCAGTAAAAAATTACGTTTTCTGCTTCGTGAACCTTCTCTTTTATTTACGTTCTCTGGTTTAGATCTTTTCTGGAAATGTGTTCTGCTCGTATTTTTTGCATAGTCCATAATGTTATGCAAACGTTTCTTAATCGGAAATAGTTATAATATTTTCCAAAGTCTTTGACCAAGGTTACATACAGACTATCAGTTCCATCTTATATGTTATGAACGACAGAACTTTGGAACAGCGCGTACATGACTTTTCTAACATACAATGGATTGTTGAAATCTTAAATGCTGCAAAAAAAATCTATCAGACGGTTTCAGGAAATGGACAAAATCCTGAAATCATCATCTTTCAACCGACTTCTTGGACTACATATTTCATTGACGCATCACATGTACAGGGTTTACACTGCCACTATGTTAGAAAATTTTTAAGCGAATCTGCCAAAGTGGTTCGTAAATTCTTTTCATCTTGCCCAATGCTCTACACTGATTGCTCCCACTGCAATACAAGTATGCATACCAAAAATAGTTTATACGTGAAAGGCTTGTAGCTCGGATTATCTGCCAGCAGAAGCACTTTAAGTCAAAGAAAAGAAAATTCGATATCTTGATAGACTTTATTATATTCGATATGACTGTCATCAAAAACCCCTCCTAATAAAGTGAACTAAAATGAAATGTATATGATGTCAAATGACAGAAATGAGCTGGTAAAAAACAAAAGAAAATTTGAAATGTAAGTCTATATTTAAAATAGAACAGTAACTGTTTTGGGTTATGAACTTGCTAGAAGCGCTGGTAAATATTCACACGTCAGCTGCTAGCCGCATGCCATGTCGGATTTTAAGTTCTATACATTTTTAAGAGTTTCCGCCACACTTAAGAATATTTCAGGCAGCTGATTCAACGCAACTTTGTTGGCTACTATAATTTGCAGCAACACCTCCGCCTTTCTGTGGCGAAACCACTTTTATATGCATAGCACATACTAGGCGAGCCGCTATGTACACAACAGAAGGATAACAAAACGCAGAAAATAACAATGTGTGTCAAATTTCTCCCAAAGGAGTTGCCTGCCGCTAAAAATGCATAAGCACATATTAAATTACGTGCATTCAAATATGCTATATGGTAATAACACATATGAATGCGTACATGCATGTGTGTAAGCGCATGCACGTGGATATCAGCGGCAACAAGCTGCTCTCATTTATCCTTTGGCATGCATGGGCAGGATAACAAATAACAAGCCAAGCAGCAGATGAGTATACAAATGACTGCGTACACATTCTCTGCTGACATTAATGTTCGTTTGTGTAAGTGTGTGGAAGTTGCTGAATTGCTGGTAATTTTCCTGAACGATAACAAAGAATTGAAGCGGAAACAGAAGGGTAATCGCATGATATCGACGTAAAGAATGTTAATACTGACGAGCGCACGTAAGATAAGTTCACACAAATAAAGTGGAAGGAAGATAATAACAAAAACCATGAAATACGTTAACTTCGGCTTCAAGGAAGCCACAAACCCATTCAAGTATTGCCGCGCATAATTTCATATTTTCTTTCTCATTTTTGTTTCATTTGCCCCACGCAATCGAGTGACAAGCGATGTATTTCTGCCTCAGCAGCGTATAAAAATGATGTAACGGTACTTATAGAGTTAATTAAAATTTGTCACAGTTAATTTGCCAAAGTGCTTTCATGTCCTCTTCCAGGTGTTGTCTCGGTGATTGCTATATATGACGTGCAGTACATGAATGCATGCGCATTGTATGGTTATAGCTGGCAGGTGCCCCATTTTGGCTTAAGCGGCTAATTTGCAGGTTGACATTCCACTACCTTAATATTCAGGATGACAGACAGTTATTTCCTGTATATGGCATGCAGCCAAGCCTAAATGACATTATAAAACGCATTAATATTTGATTATGATAATCAAGTGAACTGCTGGTAACACTGTGTATGCCGAAATAGTTGTCCAACTTATTGTTGCAGGAATTCGTGTATAGAATTAGAGCGTTTCCTAGCTGTTTGTGGGTCAAAAAGAAAGTAATTATGATCATAAAAAGTCTTTTATGAATGTTGATGCAGTTATTCTCATAATTTCTATTCCGCAGGTGAGTATTTTTCTGGTATCGCAACGGACCAAAACAGACTAACCTAATCTAATATAATTTTTTATTTGATCTAAGCACAGAAATTCATTCTGAAAGTTCTATCGGGTTAAATTTTATATAGAAATTGCACGCGTTTATTGTTCAATTATAAACAAATTCCCATTAAACATTTTAGTTTTCTCGGAAAAAGTGAAAACAGGTGTCGCATCAATTTGTTTCCGAGGTGTTTAGACACGAAAATATACACTTACGTATATATAAACAATTAAAATGGTCATAATATACATACATATATACAAAAAATAAAAATAATAACTTCG